AAAAATCATATATAATATATGAAAAGGAGAGAAAATAATAATAATAATAAAATGAATAATAAAATTAAATAATAAATTACTTTAGTGTGCGATAAGAATAATTTCATTTTAATATAAGAAATAATGATAATTTTCCAAATATTCGAATATAATAAAATTTTTTATTTTATTTAATTATATATATATATTTCAATTTCAATTTCAATTGAATATAATCTTTAAGAATCAATTATTTCTATTCTATTTCTTAATAAATATATCAATAATATGAAGCTCTCGTAATTTTAGAATTCAAATGATCCGAATCGAATATCTAATTATAATCTTAATAGAAAAAATTGAAAATCTAATTGAATTAAATTAAGTTCGAGGCTCCTAGAGCTCCCTAGGTCTGAAATCAGATCTAGATTCTTATTTCGTGAATTCCTATCTAGAGAAGGCCATTTCTTTATATCAAATTAAATTCAATAGAAGAAAAATAAATTCAAAATTCAAAATATATAATTTTCATTATATAATATTTATTCGTCGGTCCAATATATTATCTTATATTTCTATAACTCTAAATTATCCTAATATATCTTCATTCAACTTTTTCTATTTAAATAAGCCGATATTTCAAATCTATATATATATATATTTATTATCTATTTGCCTCTATAGTTCTAATATTCTCATTATCTATACATATATATATTAATATAAATAATATTCTCATTATCTATATATATATATAAATCTCAAAATCTCAATGTATCGAAATTAATATAATTAATTTATAAAATAAAGTATTTACCATATATTTTTCTATCAATTTTTTATTTATCTATATTTCTATTATTATAACGAATTAAAATATTTGAAGAATTCTTCTATGATCTTCTATGTCCTGTTTAAGCAGCAAGCAAGCTAATTCAATTTTGTCTAGTTCTGCCGTCATCTTTATAAATATACTTACAAGCAACCGAATTTAAGTGCCGCTTGTGGGAACAGGCGAAGGTCATGTAGGCCTTCACTAAATGCCCATAGGAACATGGGCGACATTAAATCCTGCATCAGCTGCTGCCGACCACAGCATCTGCGTGCAGGTATGCTCGTCGCGAGCACTATGTGTGTTTTTGACGGAACTTCATGCATATGAACTACACAGATACTTCAAGAACATGGAACGACTATGACTATGAGCCTTTGGAATTTCCTGTTTCACTCCGGAACTCTCCATGGGTGGAACGGCCGGTTAGAAGCGTAGGCAAAGGCAACGTCGGGGAAACCAAAGCACCCTGTGTAGCAGCAAACTCCGTGACCAACTTCTTGAAGGCACTTTCATAATGCTGATGGGAAGCTTCCAAAGCATAGTAAATCGTCTCCCGCACGAAGGAGTTCATGGCTTCAAAACCTCCTGAAGGGGTCATCACAACATCCACCCGATTTACTTGCAACGCGCCGGAATCCCCTACGATTTTTAAAGCCGTAATGGCGGAAACCGCTCCTACCCCAGATGCCAGGCCCCGAACCCTAAACAGCCCGCCTGGCATCTGTTCTATGAGCCGATGGATCATCTGCCGATCTTCCTCTGATGTGGCCTTTGTGGGTGCAAGTACTATCGGCTTAAGGATCCTGGTTGTATTCAGGGTTCTATGTACCTTAAAAGCCCTAAAGCCCCAAACCGTGAACACCTAGACCTTAAACAGTGGAACCCCTAAACCCTTAAAACTCCAGCAAGGGGGCCTTGGCCGACCGCGTGTCCAGATCTTTGGCCCTCTCTGCCACGGCCACAGCGACATCCGCGCCGGCCTCTGCAAGCTTCAGACGGCTTCGGGTTTAGGGGTTTTGGATTTGGGGGTTTAGGGTTTAGGGTTCAGGGGTGCCTAGGGTGTGCAAGGGTTAAGTTTTTGTTTTTCCCAAGCCGTTCATATGCTTTTTTGTTTCCGTTGTAACAATACCTAAGTGCTAAACCCCTTTTGCCTGAACCATTCAACCTCTAAACCCCGAAACCCTAAACCCTACAGGTAAAGGTGTACCACACTCTTAGGGCTGTTCAGGGGCATCCCTGGGCCTCAGCCACCATCCAACCCCTGAATCTGGGGTCTTAATAAAAAGAACAGGGTCTGGGGCATATCTTGCAACATAGGCTCAGCAAATCTCAGCAACACTATTGTTAATTCACGGACTTCTATTAACAAAAATGTTTTGCAACTTGAACCTTGCCTTGCCCTCTTGTAACACTCCCGTGGAGGTGCAGAGCAGCAGGCCTTGAGAACGACCATCTTGTGACAAACAAATCGTGTGATAAACTTCGAAAAGGCACCAAATACGCTGGAGTGGCTGGACACCTTCGTCAAGAATCATGGCAGTTCCTTTGCAGTCAGGGCTTGTAAGAGCAAGATAAAATGAAGATTGCTCCCAATGGCAGTTGCCCAGCTCTTCCTTGACATGCCACTGACTGTTGCTGAATGTGCAAACCCAATATGCAGATTCCCGCCACTCTTCTTGATCTGATAGGGCATGTTTGCGAACGGCGTCCATGAAATGACGCACTGGCATGCCCCAAAAGTGACTGACGAACCACCGGATTTTTTTGGGACCGACTAACTCCGCGAAGGATAGCTGGTAAGGCCTCGTGAGCGGCTTCACGATATTGGAGCAGACATAGTACATGGATCGCTCCTTGACGAAGGTCTCGAAGAACCTTTTCATGCAGCAGCAACAGCGATGTGTCGCCAGGCTCTCTGACTCCCTCCCTCTCTTACCAAAAGAAATGCATGCTGTGTTTGAACAATAAGTTTACTTAGATCCGCCACGCTTTCATGCAAACATGCAGAAAGCGCAGAACTAACATGCATTGGTCCATACCAGGCAAAACTTCGGATAAATCAATCGACTGTTCCCAGGCTGATGCGAGTGGAGACTTGCTACTGCTAGTGAAGCAGTGAAGCGACCCCACACACCTGAACACTGAAGCTTATCAGCCGGGCAGCTGCAAGAAATCCTGAAGCTGCCCTGCGGTGATGGAACGGTCTGGCCCACGACTGCAGCGCTGTAGCACTGGAGGCCACTGCTTGAAGAATTGATGGCAGCGCTTTTCCAGAGAGGTGCGGTCTTGCCTGTGAGATCCCGAGTTTCACGAGCATGGATCATGAAAGGTCTTCTCTCTTCGGGTGAGCGTTTTGGCTCCAGGTATGCAGTTTCGGAGTTTCCCTCCAGCTTTTTTCAAATCATCCCGGCCTCTGCCTTAATGCAAAGCCCACTGCGCCGGCACCAAGACCCGAGCCACAGACCAGCAACAGCAAGGCCCAGCGTAGTTGGCTGGCGAGTCCCACAACTGCTGCCACAAGCAGTAAGCACCACACCAGGAGGGGACATCTCCAGAAGCCAGTCACCAGAAACCCGCGGAGGGGCTTCAGGCGAATGCGTCCTATCGAGGTGTCCAGTGGCATCAGGTCCGTGCTGTCATCGACGAGCAGCAGCTGGAAGGAGTTTAACGTCTTCAGACGAAAGCGACGCTCCTCCAAAGCAGGCACGTCGGTGCCACTGAACCTCACCTGGCTTGGGACCGCAAGCTAGGAATAAAAGCCTCAAGCCCTGCGAGAGCTTGGGAAGCACCCACAACCACAGTGGGTCATAGTATCTTGTAGCATATAATAATGTTCCATACTTGGGTATCTGATTTTCTGTAGGTTTTTCCACCCCAATCCCGCCTCTGGCAGCGCCCAGTGGAGAACCCAATGCATCATCGAGGTGGTCAGCACCAACTTCTGGCCTTGCGCCGATAGGTCCTCCACGCGGATCGAACCGAAGAGCCCAGAAAAGCATAGGAAGCCAAGGCCGGTAATTGCAATCCAAGAGATCATGGCAAGAACTACATCCATACCACGAGCCTGGCACTGCTGCTTCGTTGCATCCGCAACTTCTCGCAGAAAGACTCCCTCGCAGCGCGTGCACCCGGAACTTTCGGGAAGTGATACTTCATTTGCGGGGCAGCTTTGGCATGCGCTGCTTCCTGCTTTCGAGAGCGTTCCACTAGGACATGGTTCACATGTGAGGGCATCTCTGGAAAAGAACCCGGCATCGCATGATCTGCATGCACCACTGACTGAAGTTGAAACTTTGCCAGACGGACAGGCCATACATTTTGAACTTCCCTCGTCGGAGAAGAAGCCGCCAGCGCATGGAATGCACATGCTGCTGCCCGACTTTGGTGCCATCGAGCCCGCTGGGCACTGCGAACAATAGCTGCTGTTGGGAACAGAGATGAAGCCAGGGGAGCACTCCTGGCATTTGGCACTTCCGGTGTCGGAGAAGGAGCCGCCAGCGCATGGGATGCAGGTGCTGCTGCCCGACTCTGGTGCCATAAAACCAGCTGGGCACTTCGTACAATAGCTACTGTTGCGAACAGAGATGAAGCCAGGGGAGCACTCCTGGCAGAACTGCTCTTCAAGCTCATACCTTCCTGCAGGGCATGCCTCACATGCTGAAGCCCCAGATGCTTCTGAGATGGTCCCTGCTGGGCATTTGGAGCAGCTCGCACTTCCAGAGAGCGAGTACTTTCCAGGAAGGCATTTCTTGCACATGTCTCCTGCCACAGAGGCTGCACCAGCACTACATGGATCACACCTGCCATCCTTCTCCTCGGTGCCAGCTGGACAGATGCCGTCGATGCAGCTGCTGCGACCCTCTTCGTCACTGCCGAAGAAGTGCACTTCGTGGCAGTGACAAGTTCCATTGCCCGTCGCCATCAATGCTGCCGTGGACTCTTGCGGAAGCTGCTTCGCAAGAGCATCATCGAAGCAAAAGCCTCGACCATGACATATCTTGCCATCTGCCCCAGGACAGGCAATGCAACTGTGCAGCCGCCCCAGTTGCGACTGCATGCTGTAGAAATCCTGCTGGCAGCCTGAACAGTCACTTAAGTTGTGCCCTGAAACACAGCTGCAGTCAGTCTGTCCGGGCGTGCAGAGGCCCTTTTCATGGCAGGGCTTTTCGGGAGCACAAAAGCCAGCGCTCCAAAGCACAGCGCCCTTCGTGTTTTCGTGGGCTGCGATTAACCTGAGGCTCCCATCGGTCACATCTCCCAGGTCGAAAGACACTAACTCGCCGAACTCGCCCGTCACGAATTTGCTGAGATTCGTCCCCAAACACAGAAAATCATCATCACATCGCAACGCATCCGTGGAGTCGTGCTCACAGGCCTGCAGCCGATTGTGCCAAAATCCGTCTTTTGCATAATGCAGGCGAACCATGTCCAGGTCGCCATCACCATCACAATCCAAGAATCTCCAAGCACTGTTCATCATGTGGAAGCGTGTGCTTTGGGAAGCTGTATCCAGCTCTTCCAACTCCGCCAGCACTTTCCGCATTGGGCTCTGCTCGAGCGGCCACTCCATTACACTTCCATCGGCTAGCTGCTCAAAGAAACGTCCATCAGGCGCGCCAAGTAACAGATCTACGTCACCGTCATTGTCCCAGTCGAGGAAAATAGGCTGCACCAAATGATAGTACGTTTCTCCCTCGTGGTATTCATTCATATATGACTTGACTGTGATGTTATTGAATGGATGCCTGTACTCCTCTGCTTGCAGGCGGCCCGAAACCTTTCGGTGGTAGTGCAGCCTTCCATCAGCCTCACTGGCTATGAGGAGATCTACCTCTCCATCCCCATCAAAGTCTTCCGCTGCTAGCCTGTAACCATTCGGAAAGTTATAAGGGCCCGTCGCAGGTTCCAAAGAGGTGGCTGTGACATTCTCGAAAGCCGAAGTTCCTTCATGAGGTCTCTCGCGGCGACCATCATACAGCTGCGGCAATCTTTGCTCCCGGTGCCAGGTCACCAGCAGATCCAAAACGCCGTCTCCGCTCCAGTCGACGGCGCTGAGCTGCTTTGTGCGAGTGCTGGTGCCAAGATCAACATCCCCAAAGGTGTTCATCACGGAATTGTACAGATCAGATTCCACGACCTGCTGGGATACATCAGGATAAGTGTAGCAATCCAGAAGTCTCGCCCCCCAATTACTGAACTCCAGAATAATCAGATCTGGCCATCCATCCGAATTCCAGTCGGCCACAAAAGCTCTTTCCTGGCCCGACTCCCCATTGTAGAACGAAAAACCTGCCAATGGATTTTCTGCGGGCTCCACAAAACTGTCATCACCAGCACGTCGAAAGTAGCGGAGGTGCAGCGTGCCGCCAGGACCGTTGCTCTGACGGTTCCAACCCTCCATCAAGACCTCCAGGCGGCCATCACCATCTATGTCAGCAATTACGGCCAGTTTCCCACCGAAGATGTTGATGGGATTTTGACTCCCCGTCCGCTCGACTAAAACTGTTTCCGATATTCGCTCGAAATACCTTTGCTGAAGAATAAGGTCTACATCCCCGTCTTCGTCGAAGTCGACGGCCTGCAATGCTTTTTTTAGGTGCCATCCTGCGCATGTGGTCCCATTGACCCTGACCAGCAGGGTGAAATCGTCCAATTCGGCGCCCACTAGCGGCAACTCGGAATGTCTCAACAGGCTGATATGGACTGAGCCACCCATCTCAGAGCACAGCAGCAGATCCAACTTCTTGTCACCATCCCAATCAACCACCGCGACATCGATGATCTCAGAGAGTGTGGCGCCAAGTAACTCCTGCGATTTGAAGGTATCATCGTGGAGACGCTCGTACAGGGTCACTCCATGCGGCCAGCTGGTATTCATAGCCTGATCAGCACTAGAGACGGTTTGAGGCCTTTCTACAAGCATTCAAGACATGAATTTCTGGTTGAGAAGTGGACAAGCTTGCATCCGAGTTTCAGGATTCAAGGGGGGGAAATAGCTGGGCTTGTCCACAATGCTGTAACCCACCAACACGTCCATGTCTCCGTCCCCATCCCAATCAGCCAGCTGCACTCTCGGATGATGCTCGCCAAAGCATGGCAAGGCCGCTGTCGATTGTCGCTTCTCAAACCGATGAAGCTTTCCCACGCAGCTGCCAGCATCAGGTTGGCACCAGGAATGCGCGTCCCCGGCCACCAGCCGAAAATGGATGAGCCAGCTGAGGCGCAGCATGGCGAACGCGGGTCAGAAATTGCTGGCTTACTGCTCTGTCTTCTATCTTCAATGCTGTGGCATGAGTCAGGCCGTGTGCTTCTGCTTCGCTTAAAAAGCAGAATAGCAGAAAAATGTCAGAACGTTCCAGACTCATCTTTCTGCAATCATCACTTCCATGCCTCGATCACCCCTTCTTCGACTGTAGGTGCTCCTAGCTGAGAGTTATGCAATAACAGGAGGACCACCGCAAAATAAGTTTTGTCAAGCAGTGCTTGTTGACAAATTGTATAACTCCAAGTCTTGGGCATTTATTTTTTCAATAAATAGAAAATTACGATGCCCCTGTCGCAAAACGCGAGTTCCGCTTTGCACATGCTACGATCACTGTTGTCAATGCCACACCTAGCCAAAACTAAGCAACAAATTGTACATCTTGCAGTGGGCCACTTCCAACAAGACAGCGGATGCAACCAATTGCATGGAAAAAGCGTATGCCCTAGATTCTAGCATCTATGCCGAGTCATACCTCGCCACGCTCCATCGTACATCAGTCCATGCCTTGCATCGCAGAACTGAGCGGAATATGCATCGTGTCATGCCCCACGGACAAAGACTTTTTCTTCAAATACCATCCTGAGTTCCACAGTCTGCTTGGGTACCCGCCGCACGCAATAGTCAGACCATCAATGCAAAAAGAGGAACCGAGGCTATCTGCTTTTGTCGCTGTGTCGTCGCCGTTCTTCTTTTTGTGGACTGCCGTCTTCCCAAAACCCAACCCCTGGGCAATGCATGATGTTTCCTCTATTGGTGCGTCTTGCCGGAGATCCACCAGAGGAGGAATGCAATCCAACTGTACAGCACCAGGAGGTGGATGCCTGGTAGCTGCGGCCAAAAGAAATGAGCAACTTCAACCTACTGCAGAAATCGTCTCAGTTGCTTAGGGCAGTACAGAAGGCGCGCCGCATCAAGGCCGACTTGAACAAGGACCTAAGGTGTCGAGACTGAGATTAAAGTTATGATTTTCAGCATTGCGGGCACACGGTGTGTCGCACCAGATCTTGTACCAGACTCAAACCATGAGCAGAAGATGCAACGAAAACACACAACGTGTTCTCACCCAGTGTCTTAGTCTTTTGCTTCCTCCCACCAGTAGGTTGGTCTTCAAAGCAAGTGGCAGTGCGAACCACGATATCGTCTCGTCCAGAAAGCCGCAGCCCCTTGTCAGCAAGTCTGTTGCCAGCACGTTGCCATTGACAGCAGATGTGTGGCGACTCTGATTGCAAAAAGTGCACAAAAGTGACTGCACTGCATTCTCGTGAGTTGGGCCTTTATCTGCCTTGCAGAGGCATGGTCTTGCACATTGCTGAAGGCCACTAACGGGCTTCTATCCAGAAGCCTCCAAAACTAATATAGCCAGCCTCGTACTGCACTATAGTAACCCCTAAGTGGCCCTAAATTTACATGGTGACCCCTGTGCGACCCTCAGAGGGGCCCGCAAAAGGAACCCTCATTTTTTCAAGGAGGGGCTGCAGTGCACATGCCCTCATGCGCGCCTCAGACCGAAGGAAAAGCCTAAACCCCTAAACCCCACATAATCCCTAAAAGCCCTCCACCTAAACCCCTCAACCCTCGACCCTAACCCCTGAACGACCCACACCCTAAAGCCCTCCAACCCTAAACCCAGCAAGGAGACCACACCTGGTGGCGAGCGCCTCTCCCACATCGAGATCGAGGCTAGGAGCAGACTCGCCTTGGACTCGGATTAAGGCCGAGGGATTCGGGGTTTGGGGTTCCTTCGGAGGCCCTGTAAGGGTTTCAACAAGGTTTATTGCAGGGTTTAAGGCTCCAGGGTCTTTAAGGTTTTAGGGTTCGAGGTTTGGGTTTTAGGGTTTGAGGCGTTGGGGCTTTTGGCTTTCGATGTTGCGGCGGTTTGGGATGGGTTCCAGAACGACACTGTGCCGCGCAGCAAGCATCTACATATCGGCCTTTTGAAAGACTGAAAGCACAGCTCTCAACCCTTAAACACTAAACTCTGAACCCCTTTGAGCAGGATTGCGGGGTTCCCTTCAGATAAGTCCAGACCCTGAACCCCTAACACCCTCAACCCTCAATCCCGGAATCCCTTAAAACCTCTAAGCCCTAAACCATCCTAAAATCAATCCAACTATCCCAAACCCTAAACTCCCTAAGCCCTGATGAGATGTGGCGTGAGGAAGGGGTGTACAAGGCTGTGACTGGAAGGTGGGATGGTGAACAAGGGTGGGAAGTGGATTCTGGGGTACGTGGTTTTCCTTTATTCTTCTCATTCTTCTTGCTAATGCTTCTATTCAATAAAATATAAGTGAAGCGCATGATTTTATTAAAATGAAGCATGAAGAAGAATGAAATGGAAATAAAGGAAATAACACGTAGGAAGAAGGAACGTGGGAAAAGAACCCAGATTTAATTGAATAAAACCACGCATTCCTTTCACTCATTTGTGTTTACCAAAATTATAAGAACCGAAATGAACTAATTTTTAAATGAAAGAAGATAAGGAAGAGAAGTGATGAACGAACGCATGCTTCTTTTCCCTTATTTAAATTGGGTCTTTTGTTCCTTCTTTGTTCAGCTCATAGTCTTCTTTCATTCTAATTAATTAAATGATAAGTGAACGAATGAAAGTAGTGAATGAGCTGAACGACCATATTTTTTAGTTATCTTTTTTCTATTGATTTAATTCTTATTTTCTCTGTTCTTTAAAGGAACCAGGAAATAATAAGTAAATCTGGGTCTTTTTCCATTTCCTAAATTCATTGAAAGACACCACACAAGGACTGGATCCTACATTCCATTAGCTTGTTTGACCTAAATCTAAAGGTGAACACTCCAGTCATTTTAAGTAACCAGGAATCATCTCAGTGTTTACCTTACATTTCTTTGGCTTTATATTATTGGTGGAGATTTTAATTGTCTTTCTTGGGCTATATTTTATTGGTTTTTTCTTGACCTTATATTTAATGGTGAATTCTCTTTGCCATCTTATTAATGTTGGAATCTGATGTGATTTTGACTTACCTTCTTTAATCTCACCTTTTCATATTATTTGGAAGCAAAAGGGACGATTTCCATGATCCGTGTTTGCCTGTGGTGTAATGTAATAAAGAACTACAGCATTAGAAGCATGTGGCATTTCGGTGGATGATTGTAATTCTAAAGAAGACCAGCATTAATGACCTGGAAATTTCAAGGTTACTGGAAGTCTGGGATTAATATCCGAAGCCTGCTATGCCCTTTCCGAAACTGCGACCGGGGTGTACGCTTTCATGAGGGTTTAGGGCTCAGGTTTTAGGCGCGACAGATAAGGTTCTCGGGTGTAGGCTTTACGATTGCACCAGTGTGGGTTCGATGTGTCCGGCCCGAAGAAGTTCAGTTACATGTGCATGGCAGCCCAACAAACAGTTTGCGGCGACGACGAGCTGTTGCATGGATTTTGTAATATCCGACCGATTGAAAGAGAGTCGTCGCACCTCGAACAGTTTTCCTGTCGCTCCATGCAGCCCGCCAAGAGACATGCAACCTTCCAATCGACATAACATAAAACATAAACCCTTTTTACACGGGCTTGATGGGAGCTCGCCCGGCCAGTATTCCCGCGGCACATCGCACTCGTGGCGAGATGTGCAAGGCTAAGCAAGCACAATCCTCATTATCTTACGAACCCCGAAACCCTCAACACTAAGCCCTAAACCCTCTCCACTCGTGCTTCCTGGAAGAGCAAGGTGGCACAACGCAACCAAGAAGATCGAACTGCCGAGCTGCGGCGAGCACACACGAATTACGTAGACTCATAAGCCCAATGATGTACATTACCAACATATACCAAACACTATGTATTCGATTCAGAGAAATAAGCCCAAGCACTTGTGAGCTACCACAACTCGAGCCCATGGACCCTGGACTATGGGCCTGGCTGGGCCAGCTAGAAGTAGGGTTTAGGGTTTAGGGTTTAGGGTTCAGGGTTTAGGGTGTAGAAGCAATACCTTCTCGGACAGAAACGCTCCAAATTCAAAGAGTCGAGGAACGCAGCGCCCCACGCAGTCGCTGCTGATCTGCGGTGGCTCGTTCCACCTGCTGCCGAACAGGTGGAGCCCAGTGGTTGCTTGTAAATACTACAGTTGGCATTGTCACAGTCCTTCAACAAAGAAGGGCACCGATCACGATCTTGCCTTGCGGTACAATCGGTGCAGAATGCTTTTTGTTTGTTTTTTGGCTCCCGCATGGAAATGCCGAGGGACTTATTAGTCAGTGCAAGAGTTCTCGCATGTTGATGCCATCTTGCGCGAAGCGCCTTAAATTGGAAACCGTTCCATGCCGCCGTGCTCATACGAGCTCATTCTGACGACGGTGATAGATGCTACACTTCTACTACACTGCACCAGAGACCTTTGCAGCGTCTCCTGCAATAGTCTGTGTTGTGTGCCCTGCCTCCGCCTTCTTCTCCTCCACCTTCCGCCTGCCAGTGGAGTGTTGGAGGGCTTGCAATTTTCAAGCAAGCTTTACACAAATAACAGCAGTGCAGGGCCGGATCAACATGGCATGCGGCCTCCAGTACTCCACTTCTTCCACGCCGAGTCCTTCCTCCACCTCTTCAGGTCCTGGCGCTAGCTAACCCAAGATGCAAGGAAAAGCCACAGGTGGCAACGTGCATGGTGAGCACACTCCGTCACTTTAGCCTCTCATCTCAGCACCCTTTTCACAAGGCACTCGGCTGCTGCTCTTACTACCCAGCCCGACCCACAACACAGTACTCATGACTGCAATACAGACAGGCCACTTCAGCACTCAAACCCCAAAACCGAAACCCCACAAACCCCAAACCCTAAATTTCTGAGGCCCTGGCTCAAAGAATCCGAGATTTGAGGCAATTCTTCCGACGACTTAGCCTCTGAACACGCAATCCAAGCACTCCATGAATCTGCATGGCAGCTGTGCTAAAACACCTTGCGCGGAAAAAAGTATGGTGTACAGCTATATGATCAACAAAGGATAACGGTAAAGACGTGATTAGTTTAATCATAATCAGAGTAGTACTAGTAATACCTACTATCACTGTCGCTACCTAAGACTCCCAATTGCCCAAAGTAGGCACTAGCCGTAGACCCCGCACAGTAGGTGCTAGTTGTATGCTCGGAGTCCTCGGGTGTTATGCTAGTTACGATATACAAGCCACTTCCCTAAATACTCAACCCAAACTACTAAAGCTAAAACCCTAAATCCTGAACTTCTTAGTGGGGAGAGACTTGAAGCGTGCCCTGTGCGTACCCTGGCAGAGCTGCATTCATGACATTCGCCAGCCGTGCGTTCAGTCTTTCTTTGCAACTGGCTTGCAACGTCACGCCAGGCGTACGTCAGGCGTTACGTCCTAAACCCTAAACCCTTTTCCCTAAACCCCTGAACCCCAAACTGCTGCTTCGGAAGATCCAGGCCTGTTGCAGCTCCGCCCGGAGGCTCGTCGCCTGTCTCTCTCTGCTTCGGGTTTATTTTTTTGGCATAGGTTGCAGGGAGGGCTCGGGGCTTAGGGTTTAGGGTGGGGTGTTGATTTTGGGTCTTCATATATATATATATGTCTGTGTGTGTGTATATGTATAATATACACACACAAGTCTTAACATTCTTTGTACCTCAGGCTCAAGGTTCAGGCTGTTTCTGCATGCCAGCTATAAGGCCAAGTTCCGCGGCCTTCTCGCGGGATGCTTTGGCTGCAGCTTCGGCCATGCTGATGCCTCAGGAAATTGGGGACATTGCCCGTGTGTCAGGTTGATACCATACACAAAGTACAACCTTCTTAGTCTTGATGCCTACAGGCCTGACTTCGCAAGTGCATGACCGCCTTTGCTTGTCGAGATGCTGTGCGCCATAGTTTGGTTCTTGGCGATCAAGTCCACCTGATGACGGGCACAAACCCTCCCTCCCTCCACCCTTTTTGCAACAGGCTTTCCACTTCGCCCGGAGTTGGAGTAAGCAGCCCTACTGCCTCCACCCGAAACCCTAAACCCTTGCCTGCTGGCCCGCATCTACTTGCTTGCACAAGTGCTGAAACACGCGCTGGAGCCAGATGGTTAATTCTCCGGACTAGCGTTCCGTTTTCGGCCCACACATAAAAGGGACCCTGATTTAGAGAACTGCCCATATGCATGATACATATCCAGTGGTACCGATGGTACCGCCCAAGAGGAGGATCAGTCAACCGGACCTAACAGCCACAACAACCAGGAAGCCCTAAACCCGAAACTGTGCAACAACCACAACCTGTCAGAAATTAGGGTTAAGGGTTTAGCGGCCTCAGTATTTAAGTAGAGTTTTGATGATGGGGAACCAAGCATATTGGTGATGCTTTCGGCCCCTACATTACGTGTGGGTGCAGGGGGACTGTGGATCTTGCCTTTCCTTGAGCTTGGCATTCAAACACGTCTCAAGCGGATTTATGGATGCGCTCCTGCCTGTTGTTGAAATCCATGCGGTGCTTTGTGAGATGTCCATGCTATGCTAGCTTGCAACCTCGAAGCGGACATTGCTGGATCAAGAACTAGCTCGGCGAGGGTTGTGGCCTGCACAACTCAAAACTTCGACTACATGTGCTGCGACAACATGTGCCAGCCCAAAGCCCGAACACCCTGAACCCTTTTGCCCAAAACTTCATCGTGAATCTTAAACCCCAAGGTTCGGAACCAAAGGCCTCCTGCGCACGCCCCGACGCTGCCAGGCGTTCCATCTCCTTTCCGGGTGAGACAGCTCAACTAAGGGCTTGGGGCTCTGGGCTTTCGGGTTTAGGGGTTTTTAAAGCACGGGGTTTTTAGGGTTTAGGGCTTATAAGGTTCTAAAAAGAGCGGCCGTTAAAACAAACCGCACGCAAGAATGATCAGGGCATCATCCCACAGGTCATAGAGCGCAAAACAAAACTTCCGGAAGCAACCCGCCTTGATCTGGACTCGAAGCTCTTTGGCTTGCGCCCGGAGCGCCTGTTACCCCAAAAGTCACTGCATGCCAAAACCAACCTCGTGTGCATCCGGCCCCGGAAAATATGCCGGTGACATGGAACTCGTGCCCGCGAACTCTTTTTGAACACAGACTCTGCCGATCAGCTGGCATAAGCAGCACACCCTTTTTCAGCATGGGAAGCAGCACACCCTAAACCCTAAACCTCCTGAGCCCTTTTTCTATCCAGCCTGCAAGAGCCTCTGCTCGGAACCAAATGAGGGCTTAGAGCAAACCTTCGAGTCTGCAATGCCACTCATCGGGAATACCCCCTCAGCCCTAAAACCCTAAACCCTAAACTCTTTAGAGCAACAGGGCATCATAGACCAAGCACCGAAAGCCGATCGGTAGCCACACACCAGGCCGGGCGCCTCAATCTCCATCGCTACCTGCGGCCCTGCCTGAGAGAGCAGAAGAGTCGTCTACTTAGGGTATAGAAACAAATAAAGAAAGAAGAAGATGATGATGGAGGGGATGATGATCATGACAACAGTTATAATGTATAATAGGTGATATATGCTTCACTATTTTCGACTCTCACTCCCGCACAAGGCAGGCAAGGCTCCACACAAATCCGTCACGCTGGAGAAGCCCCGCGATCAACCAGACATGGACACCAGAGCCGATCTACAACCATGCACCACCCAAAAGGCCCTCCCATCCCGTGGCTTCTCAGAGACATCGCTCTATCCTACCGACCATGGTCAGTCTCCTCATGGTACGTTTACAGCTGTATCATCTCACCAGAGACGGACAAGTAGATACCGTACAGTTTGGAAAGCAAGGATGCAGCGACATGACACCATTTTAGGGTTTGGGGCTTTTCAAGACACTCACACTCGAAGACGGCCCTGCCTCGGACTCTCGTGGCACTTCCAGGTCACCTCAAGCAAACCCGACGTTGGGAGGTGCAAGCTGGCGGCTCAAGCAAGGCTCATGTGTAAGCCCTCGTTTTTGTAGGAGGGACCGCAATGCAAAAACTGCATGCTTTGTTTTCAACAAGCTTCGCACCTGGCCTGGGTCGGACAGCACCCACAGAAGCCGTCTCCGAGACAACCCTGGGAGTTTCGTCTCAATCGACACTCACTTTTAAACCTTGTAAACCCTAAATCCCAAGCCATCCCAAGCCTATCCGACACTTTTGAATGGTTCCTCCTCGCAAGCATCGTTTTGAGCATCTCGCCGGCTTGCTTCCGCCGCAGGATCAGCCCGCAGTTCTTCCAGTAACGCACCTGCCGGGCCAGGCCCTGTCTTACCCGGCATGCCGTTTAGGGTTCAAAGGTTTAGGGTTCAGGGCCTTCGGTTTAGAGGTTTCGGGTTCAAAGGCGTTCAGGGTCAGGCTTGAAAGTTTAGTGGCGACGCTGCCTCCTCATCCAGCCGCTGGGTGCGTGCTGCCTCCTTGCGCTGCAGCGCCTCTGCCTGACAGGCGGCTGTCAGCCACTCGTCACATCAGCATCCAGCTCATGTAATATGGGGGCCGGCCTTAATGATTAGAAGAGGGTTTTGGGGTACATTCTACCAAAAATAAAAAAAAGGAATCCCCTCCAAGATACTGTCGATGATATAAACCCCGCATTAACTGAAGGGCCCTAAACTATGGGAATTATGGCATACTCCGTATTATGGGCAGTGCAGGATTTATATCATCAGCCATAGCATAGGTAATTATTTAGGCCATTACATTGGCCTGGCCCAGCCTCCTTTTCTCGGCGAAGGAGAGCCTCCAGCCTGGGCCCCCGGGAGAGCATCGGCCACATCAAACGGTTTAGGGTTTCGGCTCTCACTCTCGCACAGGCAGGGGTCTATAGGGTTAAGGGTTTAAGGTTTATGGGGTTTAGGACCCGGCCCAGGCCCACTGCGGGACGGGACGCCCCGAATCCATCCGAAGCTGCGCTTCCACAAAATCCCGCAGACTTCGATCCAGGCATGTTCGAGCCACCCTAATGTAGCGGCCTTAATAAGTAGAATAGGGTTTTGGGGCCCACTATACTATATTCAGAATACGGAGCCCCCAAAATAATATAGGTAATTATTAAGGCCTCTACTTTACACCCTAGACCCTAAAGAACGCTGATCAGACATCCCGAAGACCACTGGGGGTCTGACTGTAGCTGGAGCTCGCCTTGCAACCTGCGCGCGGCCTTCGCATGGCTAAACTGGTCAACTAAACAGGGAAGCTCGCAAAACTAATGTAGGGGCCTGATAATGATAATCATTAGAATAAGGTTTTGAAGTAATTATCTTGTACAATAATCATAATAAGGGACCCCTCAATAGGCAACTATTCAGGCTTGTATATATTAGGATTCCAATTCCCGGGATCCCCGGGCCGTGCGGTGACACCATGCGCTTCTCGCTCTCCATCCGGCTACAACCGACCCCCCCCCCGCCGCCCCAACATCGCTAAACCACAAAACCCTAAGAGCCCTAAGTCCTCAACCCAAAGAGATTATGCTCTATATATATATATATATGTAGTGGCTATAGCGACGACAAGGGAATGCCACTACATATAGCTGCTGGTAGTACTCCGACGTCTATAATTTATAAAAATTCTCCTTTTTAACATAAAGTTCAGGGCTTAGGGCCAGGGGTTTTCGGGTTTCCCGCAGAGGAAATCACGGTTGACCACACTGTCTTCGGAAGGGGATTCACTGAGCAACTTCTCCAAAAAAGCAGAGTGGCTGGAACTGGACTGTGGCTTCAAGTAGTCCCGGCGTGCCGAGCACGCCATGTCAAGAGACGCAGCAGCCACATGTTTGGCACTGTCCCAGGACGTCTGGAGGCGCTCTGCGCAGCGGTCCAGCAGTGAACATTCATCAGTGGAGATGCACATCAGGCCAAACAGCTTCTGCCGGTCCACGTTGGGATCTTGGCATCTTGAAGGTTGTAAATCAAGAAGTGAGAAGCTCACCGGGCACCGTCACGCCCAAAGCCCATGGAAACCGAGCTACACTTCTCCATCAGCACAACACTGCGAGCCGAGTTTTCGAGTTGAGTCTTGCAACAAAGCATCTACGGCAAGCCGAAACCCTAAGCCCTAAACCGTAAACCCTAAGCTCTAAATTTAGAGTAAGTTTAACCATGTCTAAAGAGCTCAGAGCCTGGGCTTCTTCAGCTTGAAGATGCTCCACCTGCGCTTGCCGCTGAGCCTGCCAGGGCACAGAAATCTACGGTTTAGGGTTTAGGGTCTAGGTAGGGTTCACAGGGTTTAGCACGGATTCCACGGGCGCAAGATCCCGTCTCCTTTGTTTCTTTGGGGCTTGAACACAGCGCAGTTGAGGCGATTACGCTGCTGCTCGCCGGGGCGGAAGCAGTCGCACTACGAACCTTAAAATCTGTATAAACAGTCCGTAAACTGCATGTCGTCACCCTACCCAGAGAAAATGCTCTTGAGAGTTCGTTCATGCCCTGGGGATCCACGTAGCATTTGGGCCAATTGGGCTGTATCAGTAGCATAGGACTTTGTGGCTTATTTTAGCATACTTCTATCCAAGAAGCCTATCAGGAATAACACTTGCACGAGCCCGCCACCTCGGCGCCTTCTGCCAACTCTTGCAGCTGCCGCTGCGCTGCTTCGAGGCGAAGCTGGAGCTGCGCACCTGCGTCTACCTCTTTACCTCGACCTACCATAACCCACTTTTTTGTAGGTTCTGATTATAAACCCTAATATGGGATTTATAGGGACCCTATAAAGTAGGTTCTGGTAGGCTAAGGTAATCATTGAATATCAGGTTCAGGGTTTAGGGCTCCGATTTCTTTGAATAAGGTTCATGCTTTATCATGCTGCATGTATGGGTTTCGGGGCTCACTAAGGCTTATACTTATAAATGTTACGGCACCGCCCTTTTGTTCACCAAGGGACTCGACTGCTGCCCTTTGAAAACCATAATCTGAATCCTTATCCTTAGTTTTTTCTAATTTAATTCCTAAGAAACATAAAGCTTAAGGACTTGGTAGAGGGGGTGGCGGGCTCCTGGTTGGGGATCTTGGCTCGGGCCGGGGCTTTGCACCGAGAGTGTCAAAGGAGCGGGATGGGAGAATCCATTTAGGAGGAAGTAGAGTTTACACTCTCACAACTCGGACAAGCCAGGCGAGGATCCATAGGTGCATAAGTCGGCGTGACACTGTAAGCTGCCCATGCATGCCACTATCCAAACCAGACGAAGAAAACTCTCAAATAAACCACAGCTTACAAGACAAGGTGGATGCGGGCTCAACTACTTTGAGGACATGTGCCTCAAACCTTAGTTACAACTCGGTTCTGAGCTGAGGCGCTGTACGACAAACCAGAAAGGCTGCGACACCGCTAGTCATCAGGCAAAAGGCGATCATCTACCAAGCCCCGGTTGCGTCTCAACTGCTACTCAGGGGGTAGAGCATCATCAGGGTGAAACTTGCGACTCCATCTGTTGCAGGCAAGGACTGTGTTGGTAGTCCCCGGCCGCTCAGTACTGCACGGTTTCAAAACTTCCCACTCTCTTCTAGAAGTTGTGTTTCATCCTCGGTCACCACCCATTCCGCGGTGTTGGGTCATCAGTCCAATCCCCGTAAGGATTTGGCGTTGAAGCGGGGATATAGTCTGCATCGAACTGTTCTTCATCAAGCTCTGTTCCATTGTTTATCTTCTTGTTGCCTGCAGACAGAAGCCATTCTTCGTCCAACTGTCCACCATCGCTGCTAACGGCGGGGCCCAGGAAAACTCTGGACCCTTCTGTATGCCGAGCCCAGCAGTGAGGTGTAGGGTCACATAGGGGCCGTATGGATCTGCATCCGCGACCTGTGTCCCCTTGGACTGTAACGGCCAGCCACACCCATATTTGTTTGTCTGTCGTACATGGGTTGCGCCCCTCGAGAAAAGCAGCATT